ATCGGAAAGGTCATGGAGATTATCACGCTGAGTTTTGTGCGATGTTGAATATTGATAAATTCTCAAGTTCATGCACAAACACCAAGAACTTGCAAATATTTGGCAACAAGAACACTGTGTCACATTATTGAGATATACACATTTTGAACGTGAGTTTTCTATGAATTGCCATTTCGATTCTACCCAGGCACACACTCTTTACTTCTATGTGTCGTGTGTCATCAAGAAGTTGTCGATCATCGCTCTCCACAATTTTCTGTCCTTTGTCTCTCTTAATGAATGTTGTTTTTTTGTTATTTCTCCTAAATATTGTTCCGCCATTTGTTTGCACAAGCAGTCTGGGTTATACGTTGTTTTAAGCTGTCCGTCTAACCTTCAATCTATCCTCGTGAGTATCAAATTTTCCCGGTCTTCTTTTCTCATTATGTGCTTAGACATTTCAACTATCTTTTCCTTTTTTGTTTCCCTTTCCTCTAATACTTAGGTGTTGCTTAAATGACCGGTTTCAATGTATCCTCAGCATCCTTCTGTAGAACTATATTTCTGTTGATTATTTGTTGAACTATATTTTTTCTCTTCATCCATTCTATATTTTTCTCTTTGTCCAGCAGCCACTGCCATATTACACGTTTCCTTGTTTCTGACAAAATATTTCAGTTTCTTATTACATTGCTTAGTTTTTGGAAGGCATGTTATCTTCCGCTTTCCCAGTGCACCTTTGAATATAAGAGTCACACATACCGCCCTCGGTTAAAAAAAAAAAAACTTCTTAGATATCTAAATTGTCGAACTGCTTTTATTTTGGTATCTCCAATTTGTAATTTGAACGTTAGACTAATTTGCATGTTTGGTATGTTTTTATTTTTGAAAGACATTGCTCTTCTTTTGGATTGGTTACCAGTCACAAATAGTGAACACATTCTGGATTAGAGAGAAAAGATGGAAATATCCATTTCTTAATGGCATTATTGCAAATGTGAATGTTACAGAATAAGCTGCAATTTGAACCAGGCTCGACGATTTCACTTTCCGCTCCGCTATCTGTTACGCAGCCGGCATATATTATGTTACTTTAGTCAAATCTGAAATATCGCATCGGAAAAATAAAGATTATATACATTTCTTGTGATCAGACAATCTATGATAATTTGGGATTGTACCTTGTGTCGTGTATTTGTCAGTCTAATGCTCTGACCATTTTATCGTCGACTACAGACATCGTCCAATACGATCGAAAATCTCAGACTATTTTTTTCTTCCCTTTGACAAACATTCTGCATAATTAAGCCCTCAAATAAACATTGCCGGCATATTCACAAGAGTACCGCTCGAAGATCCATAGGCTGCGAAAATCCGAAAGCAAATATTTTAACAAACGTCGACCCAGAGTCAGTGTCCACAAGCTACAGCCAGTTGTCATAAATGTGCTCAAAATTTATAGATAACGTGATGATATTTTTACATCATGTACTTGACTTTTCGTTATATGTCCAATTCCGACTTACTATAAGGAAACGATAGAAAAAAGGTAGCCTCTTTGTTGCGTCACGATAGCAAAGAAATATATTTAAATTTTATAATTCAACTTTGAGATTATACTGTCTTGAAATCGCTTCTCGCGTACAAATGGTAAAATCAAGCTAAGTTAATATTTGTTCATTTCGTATAAAATAAGCAATGATTGGATAAGTTTATATTTCTATTTGATGTACGCAAAATTTTTATGCTCTTGAAATTAGTATTAATTCTTTATTAATTCACATGTTCAAGAAAACAGAAAAGGCTGAGAAGTTTTACACAAACCTACCATATATATATATATATATATATATATATATATATATATATATATATATATAATTGCTTAAAACCACCCTATCATCCGGCATTTAACTAACTCTGCGGAGAGCTATTAATTGGGCCCTCATCACAAAAATATAGTGAGAAGCAGATGTGATAGGCAACAATAAACTGCAGAATAAGTCAAAACTGATCGCTGCATTTAAGTATTGCATTAATATTTAATCTTATCTTTTTGAAAGTTTAACGCTAATTCTTCTGTCGGCACTTAATTTAAAGACAATTTGATGTACGTAGGTTCTTACTTTCCGTACAACAAATTATTTTTCTTTCATGCCTGACTTTCGCTGGATTTCGGAATTAGTATTGATTTTTCCCAAATTTATTTCCAAGTTACAAAAACTGTTCGTCGCAAAAATATCGGTAAAAATTCACCGAAAACAAACGCAGTAATGAAAAATGTGGAATCCCGAAATTTTAGGATTGCAGACCCGGTTCCGGCCCGGGATGTTTTTAATTTGTTCACGGAGTTGTCCTGATTCCAAAATGGTATGATATGTTGGGGTTCAACCTCTAGGAGTAAAGTTGAAAAAGTGTGACACACTGACATTTGGATTTATTATATAAATGTATTTCCGAGAATGTGTCACCTCTTGTGTATAAATGCTTTAGTGTGTTTTTCCTATTGGATCTGGCTGTGAGGTAATTTGTGAATATTCATGTATATGTATGTGCACTGACTGCGCCATTTAACATGAATAAGGATTCAAACCTCACATATTGGAACGTCTACCTCAATCATGTCTAGTTCTATAAAATTCATTCACTTTTAAATCGTCTTACCATTTAGGCTAATAAAAAAAGTATGTTGTGCAACAATTCAATGGAAAGATACGTAAGAGAAGCTAATACATTCCACGCCATTAGGCCATCATTTGTAGAATGTTATGTGTGCATTTTGTACAATGGATGTACCACTATTATAGATTATAGAGCAGCAACATGAGTAGTTAATTGCTGGAAGCATCTACCTCGGATTATAGAAAACGGAAGAGTTGTTTTGCAGTAATATGACATCTACATTGTAGTTCCAAAAATTGTCTTACTAAAGTTGAATAAGATAAAAGGAAATATTTACCTGTTCATTAAATGCATCTATAATCTATTTATTCCAAAATTATTGCAGTATCCAGAACCCAGATCACGTGGGTGACATCATCTATTCTCTACATATTCAGGGACCATATCCTCTATCTTACAAATTTTCAGGGAATAATAACCTTACGTTGGATATTATCTTATATTCAGTTTTATAGAATTCAGAACAATAAACGATTAAAATGAAATAATTCAAGGAGATGATGTATAAAAATTAAAATTCAGGTTTTACTTTTCTCATATTCAAACTCGGTAACGCCATTCCGTGTTAGTGGGTTTATTGCATTGCTTAGGGTGAAATAATTAAGGGAAATTCGTCAAATGTTAGAAAATGTTTTACAAAATAATAAATTCTTTATACACGTAAGAAAAGCTAGGTAGTCATTTCAGTATTTTATATTGTAGCAGGTCGGTGAAAATTATGACCGAATATAGATCGCGGATAACTGACTGCAGATCCTGCATTGATATCTAAATAACGCAACCATATATCGTTAAATCAGTAGACCCAATCAATTCAAATCTAAAACTAACCAGAGATCTCAGTAAAAAAGACGTAAATGCTTCCCCACTCACAATCTAGTTCTCTATTATTATGAAGTAAAAAAATTAAAGCAATCGTATTTAATCCTTGCTATAAAATGTCAAATCATAATGGCTTTTTTTCAGAAAAAAAGACTTTACAATATATTTCCCAATCTTCATTTCTATTCAGTTGAAACATTTTATTCGGTATTGTAGCAACACATCATTAATCTTTTCCTTTCAAATTCAAAATTATTTGTCAAGGAAATTAATTTTTTATTCGGAATTAAAATTAATTGTTTTTCACCTTTTTGTCAATAGCATCGTAGATTAATTACATGGAACATATCTGTGAATCGAACGGCAAATATTGTTACTTAATTACGATCATCATGACAAATAGGCAGTTGTTTTATTGTTTTCGTTATTAATATTGTTTAGGTGTACGCCTCTTGCATATTACCCGCATAAAAAAAGTACGTGGAGAAATATGCACGATATTTATTGACAGATTCGGTTACTCTTTTAATTCCAAGATAAGGAAATCAGATTTCAAAATTCCAAGTCGACATAAAGAATACTAACACTTAAAATAAGAGGAATATAATGTATTCGTCACGAGATGAGAAAAGAGTTGGAGAATCAACACTGAAATGATATTAAAGGCAAATTTTATAAAATAAGGATGGGGTTGTTAAAATTGATTTTAGATCCGGTAGTGGGTTGGATATTTTATAGAAAATCATTATTAAAAACAAAAACTCATAGGGATTTTTGCAGTGACATGTTCGCCTATATACTGAAGAGGCACGGAACATTAGAAAAATCGACTGAATAGATATTCTTATTATTGAATTAAATGCAGTATAAAACATCATGAAATGGAAAAAAATAGAAGATTTATCTCACAGAATGTCACCGTGTTGATCTAATCTAGGTTGTGTACATAAGATTGGAAGGGGCATGAATCAATTTCTAGCTTTCGACTTGCGTAAATGGCCGAGTACACTGAGCTCTCTAGCTTTGATTGAGAATCATTTTAAGAGACGGACAACTCTGTCACCACAACTGAAGCGGGGCGTTTAAGATCAGCCGGTGGTTTTTCGGACCCTCTTTGCGGATATTTTTGCAAATAAAATTGCTGCTCGATATGATTGTATCGCTGAATATTTGGGGGAAAGTAACCAACCAAATTACGATTCCTGGTAGATGTTGTCATCATGATCTCAAATGGAAGAATGATATGACAGTCTAAATATATTGCGAATTTACACTATATATATATATATATATATATATATATATATATATATGTGTGTGTGTGTGTGTGTGCGTGTGTGTGTGTGCGTGCGCGCCCGCGTGTGTGTGTCTTTTATGTGATTTGTTCTTTCATGGCATAGCTAATCACAGTCCTCCAACTTAAATTATCATTTCACTCTTTACCATATATATTATTCTCATATCCCTTAACAGAAATTCTTTAGGTAGGTAACTCAATCTTTCTCTGGATCGCTGGCTTACGACCATATCGCATTGAAACACCGGTTATCCTACGATCACAGAAGTTAAGCATGATTGAGCTTGGTCATTATTTAGATAGGTGGCTCCTTGAGAATTCCAAGTGCAGTAATTCTCAAAGAGCGGCTGAAGTAATGGATAACAGTTCCGAATTAGAAATCACAGAACAGAGTTTTAATTGCAGTCTGGTTCATTATATTCAGATACGAACAAATACCCTTGTGGAAGTTATGAATCTACTTCTAGTTCCCCACCTATTGGTTAATTAGTAAAACTTTTGTCAGTAAAATTAATTAGTAAAACGTTTATCAGTAAAAATTATTATCTCAAAAACTTCTTACAATCGAAAATAATTTTTACTTTTAAATAACATGCAAAAGATCGATAAGATATAAAAAAACAATCAATACTTTTGTTTTTACATCATTTCATGCCAAGCAAAGCGAAGATGACAACAGGGTGCAGGCTGTTAAAAGGGAGTGAAAGAGAATGAGAAGACTTTAGTAAGGAGAACTAAAGAGAAAGAACTATAAGAGAACAGGTTTCAGGAAGACATGTGATGGCGATTTACGTTGCATCCATATCTTTGAAGATTAAGAACGGGAGGAAAGAAAAAAAGGAAAGGAATTCCACAAGTAATAATCAAAAGTGCAACTATTAGAATAGAAGCTACGGTTGCATCTAACGGATTCAAGATTAAAACGGTTAGATCTAGTTACCAATCTAGTAGCGCGGTTAAATTAATATGGTGGAGGCAATAAAGAAAACAAAATCTTATCTGAACAGTTCTCATGAATAGGCAGGGTGAAGACGCATCACGTCGGTGAGTAAGTGTAGACGAGACGCCAGTTCAAGATCGAATACATTACAAATCCTTGAATCTTGAATTTTGTCAAGAATCTCGAAATTTATAGTAAGAATACCAAACCTGGTAGCAGTATTCAATGCAAGGACGAATGATAGTTTTATAACTGTGCAGAGAGATTCTGACATGAAATATTGTCTGACACGACACAATGAACCAACATTCCTATCAACAGACGAAGCAATTGAATCAGTATAATTATTTTACTTCATATCAGTGGAAAACATGATCCCAAGAAGGTGCAAAGAGTTGTTCTCTTAGGGATTAGCATCAGCCGTAATGATGACAGGCCGTAGCGGTTCTCTTTGGTGACAGAAGTTTTCTTATGGAGGCGTTAAAATTTACCAGCCAGCGAACCACTGACTGGATGTTCTTTTCGAGAGCAGTTGCCAGGTTTACGGATCTGTCGGACTTTCTACTAAGATAGGAGTAAATAGTTGTATCATCTGCATAAATAACTAATTGGGAACTGATGACATCGGAAAAATCGTTGATGAATATCAGAAATAGAGACTTGAGGGAGCCTAACATTGATATAATATTATCTAGAACAGTTCCTGTTCAGTACGACCTTCATTACACTATTTGTTAAGAACGATTGGATTAAGTCAAATATTCGCCCAGAGCCACCGTAGCCTTGTGGGGAAGACCAGCATTCCAAACTCTGAAAAGCCTTTGAGATATTTAGATCCGCAGACTGAGCTTCAACGTCCGTTCTTATCGGAAGCTTGATAGGCAAATTCCGCGGTGGTTGTTAATATATTGGCGGTAGAAAGGGAAGCCATATTGCTTACCCGAAAGGAAACGTGTGAAGTAAGATGCCTAACCAATAATCAATATCTGGCTTTCTTCCCTTTAATATCTCTTGTGAGTATTGAATTCTCCAAGACTTATTTTCTCATATCCTAATTATTTCAGTTGTCTCTTTCTGATTGTAAATAATTCCATATGATTCCTATTTACTAAATATTTCCCGTTTTGTCCATATTATTCATAGCTTATCTTTGCCGCCTACAAACTCTTTCCAATTTATGAGATAATTGCCCAGTATTCACCTTCAAAAAGAAGAATAGATGTTACATTACATTGCACCTGTTATAATGCTATCGAGCTGTTTAATTTTTGTACCTGTTTGGTTTTGGCCTTCCTAAACTTAGATCACATATTGATGTGTTTCTTTTCTTTCTGTCCGTGGATTTTGCCCACTTACCTTCACCTTCTGACGAAAAGCACGCCCTGGAAGTTATTATTTTCTTTCAAGAATTCCGTTTACAAGTTACCTGGCGAGTTCAACAGGTTTTGCAATGGATGACAAAAAAAACAAACGTTCTTAAGAGCTGCTAGAGACAAGAAATTGTAGGGAGTCATGAAAAAGACGGTATCCTCTCTGCGCTGCGTTCGTCCTGTCTCTGGAGACGACGGTGCAACGCCCCGAGCTCCAAGACTCAGAAGAAAGTATGGAGATCATCAGGTGGACATATACTAATACCACTCTTACGACATTGCCATGAAAATTACGTAGGAAATAACAAACAAATACAGTTTGTTAACGTCGCAGTTGCCGGGTGATAACAAGGTGCACCACCCATAAGCTTAATGACTGCAACTCGTATATTTTTTAATCACTTCGCCCCCAAGCAAGGTAAGAAAACCACTAAGAAGCAAGCAGGTACCGTTGGTGAAAGAGTATGATGAAAAAAGGGAAACAATATTAAACACTTTCAGCTATGCGTTCTTGTACAATTTCAATACTTCTTCTTGTGTTCCTGAGACAAAATTCGCAAATAATTGGCATGTAATGTTTAACGGTAGATATAAAAATAGTTACAAATGTTTACCCACCGTTCAACCGGTGGTTGAGCATTACGTCATGTTTCTCTATTAACGGTAAAGTAGCGGTCAGGGATGAATGTGTTAAGGCGGGAACGATAAAAGAAGAAGGTTAAAGAAGACAGTAAATAATATCGCATTTAAATTTATGAAGTTCAAAGTTGATTGGAAAGTAAGATGCCGGAAGAGAGTGCGAGGCGTGTGAAGCGAGAACAGTATAAACTGTTAGCGTAAAAATGATGGTTACATCTCAGCGTTTCAAATGAAAACTGACGAGACTTAGCAGTCAATCTAGCAGGACGCTTACATTAAAAAAATCGAGGTACCAATGAAGAAAGCTTATCAGAACAATTACCAGATATATGTTTATAGAAACGGCGCATGGAAGCTATGTTACGGGGATGGCAAAGAGATGGAATACGAAATGTCAGGTCAATTAATTTAATAGTCTGACATAATTTAAATCATTTCAGAAAGGAGCTTAGAAACGCCATTTTGATCATGGTAAATGCAGCGCCATCTGTTTTTGGTCAATAGCAGCAACAAAATCAATGTTTTTTAATATTGATTAAGATATGATTGTAACTGATCAAAAATGAAAAATATATTTTGGCTTCCACACCCACATTTTTTATACCATGTGAAATATTGTTTTCTTATTTTTGCAATTTATTAAATCATATTATTCATACGCGAGATGGTAGAACCAATCGTCAGAAGCTTAAAATTTCGCATAAAAATGAAAAACAGAACTGCCTTAATATTAAACGCATTTGAGATTATCTGTTTTATGAACTTTCGAAAATTAAATTTATGTGGATTCTTGTCAAGTTTTAATAAAATCCTAAGCTAGGGGCTGACTAGTTTCAGCTTAACTTCGGTGGCCTAAATAAAAACTGAATTTTCAACCTGACATCGGCGTAAATTATGAATGTAAGTTTGGATGAGTGTGTGATTTAATGGATAATGCACAGGATTAGAAATCGGAGATCCGAGTTCGAATTCAAGTCAAGTCTGTTGCATTCACTTACACTTCGGAAAGTATGACTCGATCTCTTCTTCTAAATATCAGGACAGACTTAGCCATGTAACATTGGTTGGCAACCTGTCTGGGAGAAGGAAAACTTTGAATCTTAAAACAACCTGGAGAATGTTGATAAAGATCAGATGAGCATCTTATAGAAGTTAATGGTTAGCATACAGATCGGAGATGGAAAACTACTATCCAAAAAAGCATGCAATTATATAACTATTTTACAAGTGGCTGACAGTTCACCAGTATAGGACAAGTTGCTATGATGGAGAGAGCATTGTGCATTGCAGCACATTGACAGTGGACTCTTTTAAACAATGGATTTGTGCATGTTGGTCAGTAAAGAAAATTATATAGAAGGTAATATTATTTACAGGAATATTTTAAACTTTTGGTGAGAGTTCCCTAGTCAGAATAAATAATTTGATTTCAGTATCAATCAGATAAATGAACATGCAGTAATTATGTTCCGAATACATTCAACTATTGTTAGTCAATTCCAAGAAAGACAGTAGGTGTGGAAGGATAAACAATAGTGTACTTATTCTGTTAACGGTACAAAGAATGAATCCGGTTTCACCCTCTAGTTACTTTGGTGACGATTGTAATGGCACGTGACTAAAAAGACTTCGCATTTCGTTGGCATTTTAAAATTCACGTTTTTGTAGAAACAAATTACTGATAGTGCTTGGGCGTGCTTTGATGTAACCTGCTTCTTGGATTATTAATCCTTTTCTACAGTTGGGGAGACAGCGTATTGCCCTACTCCCTAATGACATCTGACGATAGTTAGAAAGGCTACTGTAGATTTGTGTTCTGTGTTTACATATGACACTTTGCTAAGAGAGATGCCAGATCACTCACCTCAAGAGGAATCATATGTTATGATCAGTGTTGTTTTATGATTAGTATGGACAAAGATAATCTCCCAAGTAACAAGAGAATTGTTATGCAATACTACTCTTTTGAAAGTCAATATCTTTCTGTAGAAATGTTCTTATTAACCGCAAGTTTTTGAGTTTGAAGTCATTTGTAGTATATAAATGGATGTCGGGTGAAGTAATTGTTAACGGCTCGAACTGGGGAATCGGAGCGCCGAGTTCGAATTCACTTACGCATTAATACACTTGAGAACGGAAAAAAATTCATCTCTTCTCCTCCCCCCCCCCAGCAATGGGTCAAATGGCAAGACAGACAGACTGGGGCCTATAGCTTTGGATGGCAACAAGTGTAGGAGAAGGGAACTCTGAATGTTAACCAGACTGCTGCCTTTTAGGACCTGACTCCTTGTGTAAAAGCAAGAAGAAGGTCATTTAAAAAACGACTTCACTCCTGAGAGGTGGGGTTGGATAAACGAAACATCCTTGCCAAAAAAGGAACCGG